CTGGCGGTCAGTTTCAGCAGCGGCTGAATCTGGACGCCAGTTCCGACTTACATACAGATTCAACTTAAGAACAAACCTACAGTCCCTATCTTGTACGTAACCCGGGGACTGCCTGTACATATTTATTTTTCCTAAAGCTAATTAAGTATGTCTGGAAAATGTGGGAGCACGAGGAAGAAAGGAAGCCACCAGAAACTTGTTCAAGAATGAATGGTTGAAGCCCTGCCCCTTGAATAACTTAAGCACCAGACAGGGCTCTACTTGACATTCATGACCATGACATCTCTCCTGAAGTTAGGTGCCTACTACAGGTTAGTTTAGTCTCAGGAAAAAATAGGAAAAATGGCACCTTATCTAAAAGCCATGATGTTTGAATGCACACCTGCTATGGATGGGCTTCCAGATGAGTATCCCAGCCACGGAGAAGATATCTTACAAAGCAGACGCTTGAATGAAAATTCACAGTCAAGGCACCTTTCCTTTATGAAATGAAGACGGTGCTTGGTTGTCCATGCAAGCAGTCACAGCAGTGACAATAGGCCATTTCTTTTGGAAAATCTGGCTGTATTATAACAACCTAACATAGCTCCAGTATACCTGGGCAAAGCTTACAGCAGGAGCGGGATCTTAAATAATGTGTGGATACGTTTTGTTTCTAAATCAAAAGAAAAATATTGTACACATTTTACATGTTAGTTACTGTTAGTAATGATTGTATTGGTGATGATTTATTTTAAATTGGTCAGTTGGCTACTATATAGTCACTTGGCTTTGAGGCATGAAGTAGTGGGAATTGTTTTGCTCTGGAGTATTAAGCTTCTGTAGTGGTGTGGTTGATGACTATATGTAATTCTATTGGGGAAGATAACCACAGCTGCTTCTGCAACTAAAAATAATAAAGGATGATTAGGTAAATTTACTCAAGTTGTAACACTTGAAAAAAGTAATACTATGCAGAAAAACTCCAGACAGGAGGGTCAGTGACAGTATCGCTACCAAAGAAGCATAATGTTTGAGTGACTAGGAGACTAGGGCTAGACCCTTACATGGATACAGTATTTTATATCTCCATCCACATCTGTACTGGCAAAAATGAGCTATGGATATAAAGTGAATATCCATGGATTTGTAGGGTTCTACCTTTGGTCTCAATAAACCACACAGGGGCCATTCAGCTGCAGTTGCCCCGAATGCTGAACAATATTTACACAAATCCTGTTTTGTTGGTTTTTTAAAACATTGAGACTGCTATTTTCTTAAGTGTGGTAATGTGCCAGCATCAGCTGTAGGGATGTAAAAGGTTAACCTGTCTGTGGCAGGCCCAGTTGATCTCCCTATTCCTTGGCTGCAGGTTAGGAGCTAGCTCCTGAGAGGCTGCTTGCCTCAAGTGTGGGAAGCTGGCTGCAGAGCCCACAACAAAGCCTTACCAGGAGTGAGGAGGAGCCTTACCACATCCTTCACACCAGGCCAGAGCCAGCAGCAGCTCTGGTCTTGCTTTCAGGGTAACTTCACTAGGGGCTCTGTGATATAAAGCTTATTTTATTATGCTTTATACAGCAGAGCCCACAGCCAATATAAAGGCTGTGATTTTTAGTGGTTACATTTTAAACTGCATTTTTACATCCCTGGTCAGCTGTGTTGCTTGTTCCATGCACTGAGAATCTGGCCTCTAGCATTTGATAATGATACTCCAGCTAATGTCCATGTGGGCATATAGCCACCTGACACATGGCTTTAGGACCACACCTGGGCAAAGCTCACTGCAGGAGGGGCCTTATAGCAAAGCCTGCGGTTAGGTTTTCAAAATACTATTTAGGTTGGGCGAGTCTTAAAACTATAAAGCTTTTTTTAACATTTAAAAAAGCCCAGCTTGTCCCCTCCTTAAAACTTCCAGCTAATGTCCATGTGGGCATATAGCCACCTGACACATGGCTTTAGGACCACACCTGGGCAAAGCTCACTGCAGGAGGGGCCTTATAGCAAAGCCTGCGGTTAGGTTTTCAAAATACTATTTAGGTTGGGCGAGTCTTAAAACTATAAAGCTTTTTTTAACATTTAAAAAAGCCCAGCTTGTCCCCTCCTTAAAACTTGAACGCGCCTCCCGGCCCGAACGCCGACTGTTACGCAACGCCGCCCCATTAGGCCCGTCCCTTTACGCCACTTGCTTGTGCGTGATGACATCATACCTACGCTACCCATAAAAGTCCAGCCCAGCGACCGCTTCCGCCTTTTGAGAGGCCTGCCGAGCGCTGGTGAGATGGCGCCGGTGAGTGAGAGAGACGCGGGCGCGTGGCAGCCTGGCGGTTGCGGGGAGGGGCAGGCGCGGCCTGATATCACTGCGCCGCCCCCTCCCCTCAGAGAGCCTGCGGGCCAGGGGCCGCCGGTCTGTCGCTGAGGAGCCACCTAAGGCCCCCGGGGGCAGCCCCGTTCTCATGGCTCCAGTGCGCTGCAGCCTCGCCTCCAGCGCCCCTGCGTTGCAGCCCGGCGGGGCAAGCCCCCCACCCCCACCCCTCCGCCATCCGGGGGGCAAACCGCAGAGGACGAGGGGGCAAGGGCAGCGGCCCGGGGGTGTGTGTGTGTGTGGGGGGGGGGTTACAAGCGGCTGGAGCGCGGAGGTGGCAAGCTCCACTGCGGTATAACCGCGCACGTGCCGTGCCTCAGTTTCCCTACGCGTGGTGCCTGGCACTTGGCTGCCTTGCTGAGGTGGCCCCGGGTGACCGTGCGTTCGAACCGGATCATTCCCTCGCGTCACTCCCTGTGACATGTCAGTTGCGCCTGAACAGCTGCCCAGCAGGGTGCTGTGATTTTCTCACCTGCCTACTCAAAGTTCAGCACATTTATGTTTTAAGCACGTCAGTAAAAGTGGCAAACTGGGAGTGCTCAGTACTTCTGGAAATCCATGGCGGCTTCTTTGGTTAGCATTTTTAAAACATGGGTGCCTAAAGTCTCTATCCTCTGCACATGCTTTGTAGCTGTACCTCCTGGCAACTTTGGGGACTAATCAGTTTGACTTTTAATGCCACTTTTGTAAGGGCTTCTCGCCACCAGCGTACTATAGGTACTGAAAGTCCTTACAGAATTGGTGTTAAGTCAAAGGCTGTGTCTACACTGGCATGAATTTCCAGAAATGCTTAAAACGGAATACTATTCCGTTTTCAGGTTTTCCGGAAAAGGAGCGTCTACATTGGCAGGCTGCTTTTCCAGAAAAGCGTCTGTGGCCAATGTAGACGCGCTTTTCCGGAAAAGAGCCCCGATCGCCATTTTCGCGATCGGGGCTTTTTTCCGGAAAAGACTACTGGGCTGTCTACACTGGCCCTTTTCCGGAACAGTGTTTCGGAATAAGGACTTATGCCCGAGCGGGAGCAGAATAGTTTTTCCGGAATAGTGGCTAATTTTGTACAGTAGAGCGTCGTTGCTTTTCCGGAAATTCAAGGGCCAGTGTAGACAGCTCGCAGCTTATTCCGGAAAAGCGGCTGATTTTCTGGAATAAGTGGCCCAGTGTAGACACAGCCAAACTGTTTAGCTCCCAAAGCCAGGAAGCCTGCTCAGAGGATGGATACTTGAGTGTCCCTCTATCTCTGGGTCACAAGATTGTCATAACCAAAACGGGCTTGTGTAATAGGGTAGTTTTCTAAGGTGCATACCTACAATTTGCAGTTGACATGTGTCTCGGGAGTAGCAGCACTTTGATTGGATGTAGGGCAAGCAGCGCATGGCTCTCGCAGTTTGTGTGAAATCAGACCGCACCTCACTTCATGTGCCTTTGCTTTATGAGCATGTCACTATATTATACCAGTAAGGGGGGAAAAAAATGCTGATGGAAATCTGCGGAATCTGGCAACACAGCAATGGTAGACAAAATGTCTCAGTGGCCACACATGGAACCTTGTTAAGCTGCATGTGGCCCATGGGCAGCAAGTTGCACCCCATTAGTCTAGAGCAAGAAGCCTTGGCTAGTATAATTACACCAATATAGTTAAACTTATATTTGTGTGAAAGTGCCTGTACTGGAATGAGCTGATATAAGCACAGTTGCAGTGGGGACATTGGAACTACAGTAGGGCTTTAACCAGCATAGCTATATTAGTAAAATCCAAAATTCCCAGTCTGACATAGCAATGCAATAAAACTCCAGTTTAGACCAGGCCTCAGGAACCAACATAATCAATTCTTTGTCTAAGATGTATCAGGCAATTGTATAACCTACATTTGATATAGGGTAGAAAATTAGTTCATTTACTGATTGACTAACAGGATTCTGTTTGGGTGCAGATGTCCTCTGTTGTACAGAGGGTTTTTTTAAAGGGAAGTAAGGGGGAGTGATTTATGATGACTACTTGATTTTTATTTTTAAAGCAAAAAGACAGAAGGTCAAAAAAATCAACTTGGAAGTTTAGCCTTGACCTTACCCATCCCGTAGAAGATGGAATATTTGATTCTGGAAATTTTGTAAGTAGCTCTGTTCATACTCTTAATGAACAACATAATATTCTTAAGGTATATATGGACATCAGATTACACTTGACGAAATGTATGTATTATGTGTTTAAAAAGTAAATTGTAAGTCTGTAATAGTTTTGCCTGCTAAATTTTGTTAAAAACATTTCCAAACATTTTTATAGATGAGCAATATATTATTCAATCAAAAGTAATTTTATTCAAAATTGCAAGGTTGTTTCAGTCAATTACAGCAAAATTTTATTGGGTTATATATACATAACACATTATGAATATAATAAAGTACTTTTGAGTTTTAACATGTACTAAATGGCTAGGGTCCCTTCCCTAGTTCAGACCTAGGGGACCATTCCCTAGTGTTCTTTTTTTTCCCTTCTTTTGAAATAGGAACAGTTCCTAAAGGAGAAGGTTAAGGTCAATGGAAAAACTGGAAATCTGGGGAACATCGTTCACATTGAACGTTTTAAGAACAAGATCACAGTCATATCTGAGAAACAGTTCTCTAAAAGGTGGGCATACTTAATACTTATAAGGTGGTTGTCTTGCTTGTCCTTGTGGTTCAACTGATTCTGAATTATTTTTAGATGAACACGATATGATTTAATTCTGATACATACAGAGAAAAGTAGTGTCATAGTTAATTTTTTTCCTGAAACCAGGCCTGCACATGGTTCTTGTGTCAGTTTAACTTGGTCTTAGCCATGTGATGCATTTTTTTACTGAAATAATTAAAATCGGTATACTCGGGATCGGGATTCCCTCTAAGGTCCGGGCCACACAATGGTTGCTCTGGAGCAATGCTGGGCAGCCACCATACAGCCCTGACCCCAGCTCTTGGCCATAGCTCCCGCCCTGGGGAAGGACTAGGCAGGCAATGTAGAGAGCAGTTGCTCCTGCTGCCAGGACCTAAGCCAGTGTGTGGTGAAGTAATGCCCTTAATTATGAAAGCAAAAATGTAGAAAAAATGTTGTTGTTGGAAGAACTTTATAACAATAAGACAGTGGAATACACTTGCAATGAAACCATAGTAGGGATGTAAGGGGTGAGTTGACTATCTGATAATCATTCCCTGTCTTCAGGGAACTTCCCCCCACACCTGGTGGGGACTATCAAATCATGTAACAGCTAAGATTTTGTGTGATTACATGATTATTGAAATAATCTATATGTAACATCCCTGCAATATATCTGTGATGTGAACTAAGGCTGTCTGTATGTGACAGACTTAAGAGTGGCACACCTGTGCTGCTGCAGCTACACTGCTGTAAGGTCTCCCATGTAATATGATAATGTGAGATTGATCTCAGAGGGGTAGCCATGTTAGTCTGTTTCTGCAAAAATAATGAGGAAATCTGTGGTACCTTAGAGCAGGGGTGGGGCAAAAGGGCCTCTGCAGGCTGGATCTATCCCACCAAGGTCTTGCTGCTCCCCCATCCCAGCACCAATCAGGGCCTAGGGATGGGGGAGCATGCGGCGCAGAGTCAACCTTTGGTTGACGCTAAGCTCTGCATGCTGGACGACAGGGTTGTGAGTGTGTTAGACATGGTAACCACTGGAAGTATTCAACATTACTGAAAACTAATCTTTGTATTTGTTGCATTCATCAAATTGAACCATGAATGTCACCCAAGACAGACATTAGAAGGTTTATGAAACAATATTAATTATGTGCCTTTTTTAAAGGTATTTGAAATATCTCACAAAGAAATATCTGAAGAAGAATAATCTTCGTGACTGGCTTCGTGTGGTAGCATCTGATAAGGAGACATATGAGCTGCGGTATTTCCAAATCAGTCAAGATGAGGAAGGATCAGAGTCTGAAGAATAAATAGAGCTTTTACTGAAAGCTTTATATTTCTAAACAGTGTACCAAAGACTAAACATCTATTTATGAGAACACTTTAACTTATTGGTGAATAAAGGTTTTGTGCACTGTTTTAAAAAAGTTCACACTGAAGCGTGGTCACCTTACTAAGTTTTCTTGCACTTGCAAATTGTACTTCATTTGCAGTTCTTTCATTGGGGTAAATTAGGAGTAATTCTTATGAAGTCAGTGGCATTGCATTGGTGGGAAATCAGCAACATTAAAATTGGGCACTTAATTTAAATACATTCAGCATACATAGTCACATTTGGGTTTTGGTATATGCATTTCTTCTGGCTTTAGAAGGCCTTTGACCAACTAATATTAACATGCCTAAAATTAAAAACTGTAAAACTAAGTTTTAACATGAAATTGTTCAAATTAGGGATGCAAGTGACTAGTCGACTATCTGATAAGCAAATGCTTATCAAATAGTCACTTCGACTAGTCACTTTCCCACCCTTGCTGCCACTATCAGAAAAAATTTCAAAAGCAGAAGTGCCGCAGAGAGCAAAGGGCAAGCAGGGACTCAAGCAGTCCCAGCTTGCCTGTGCTCTCTGCAGCACCCCCCCGCCCCCCCAGGGGAGCCAGCCCTACCGGGGGTGGGGGAACATAAGGGGCGCTGCTGCTGCAAAGCAGCCCCTGATCCCAGGGGTCCCAGTAGGGAGCTGGGCCCCACAGTGGAAAGGGCTGCTGCCTGAGCAGCCCCTGGCCACCGTGAATGGGTTGTTTGGCGGCAGCAGCCCCTGTCTACTGCTAGCCTTTGCTGCTGCAAAGAAGGGCTACTCTGGCACCAGCCTGTGTTCACAGTGGGCAGGGCTGACTGCCACAAATGGGCTGCCAGACTCAGTACAAGCCAGGATGGAGCAGTCCCAGCTTGCATTGATCACTGCACCTCTGCATTTTAAATCTAAGCTCAGCGGCTCTTACTACATTTAAAATGCAAAGTCACAGCACAGGTAGCTGAAGCTGGTATGAGCTAGGACTGCTCAGTCCCAGCTCAACTCTGCTCCTCTCAAGCTACCCCACTGTGGCTCTTTAGAGGTTCTTATTGACTAATCGTATAGTCGATACAAATTGTATCGACTACAATTAGCCAGATAATATTTTAACATCCTTCAAATGAGGTAAAATAAAGTTTGAAGGTCTGATGTACATATATAATAAAAACAAGATCTTGATGCTACTCAAGAATTTAGTTATATGGAAAAATAGTAAAATGCTATGTGCTAACATGTAGCCTATATTCTACTGTTAGAATACAAATAACAAATGTCTTTTAGTTTTTTCAGGTATCACTAAGTTTTCTAGTTTATTCCCCATTAGGGATGTAAAATCCCATTTAATTAACAAGTTAATTGTTAAGTTTAACCAGTTAACTGATTAAACCAGTGAACAAGGGGCTCCTCCAGTCTGGCTGCTTCTAGCCCTGTGCTGGGCTGCTGGCTCCCAGTCCATGTGGGCTGTGAGTTTGCAGTCTCAGCCTCATATGAGGCTGAAAGTGGCAGCTTGGGGGAGAGGCTGCCAGCATCCCTGTGGAGCTAGAGAAGCCCTCCACCCGTGATGGGATGCTCCCAGGAAACAGGTTTACATTCCTATTCCCCATTACGGGTATTGCTTAAAAACTAAAAAGAGTAACAGGTTTTTTTGAAACGGCCAGTGTAGACTTACCCTGAATGTAAAATTGCACAAGTCTGCAAGAAAATGTAATAAATTTTTTGCTTATTAAAGTTGAGGGATCAAATGGCTAGTTATATAGTTCTAAGCATGCTCAGAGGTGAGGATCAAAAGAGATAAAGGAGACAGTCATTTGGGATGAGTTAATTTTAGTCCATTATTAAGTGATCTATCTAGTTTTTGTCCAGTTGTCACATTTTTAGTGAATGCAACAGATGGTTTGTTTTTTTTAAATTTGTTGTATTTTGGTAACTAAAAGCAAGCAATCTTTTACATACACCTCCTAGGGGCGGTACTGCACACTAGTATATGGCTGGTAAATGATACAAGAAACAAGGTGTATTTGGAAGGGGTATATGAAATACATCTCTGGCCAGATGTTAATAGAACACAGAACTCAATCCTGTGTTTTATTGATCCTAAATTTTTTAGAAAACCAGATTCTGGTTGTAGTGTGCATGTGGTTGGAAGTGTGATACTGGTGTCTGAAGGGCCCTGTGTAAAGATGTCCCTGACATTCATGCCCTAGTTCAGGAAGAGCTCTTGCCTAAAGTTCCCTCTGCCTCCCATGGGAGGAAGAGTCATCAATAACTCTCTGGAAGTCTGCTTTTAGGTCCTGATTAAGTCTACATAACCTTTGCATGGAAAAAAGCAGAATCTGCCACTTCTGCAGTATTAATCTGATAGAGAGGCTGCACCTGGGACAAGAAAAGGTTTGTGGGTAGGCCCTGTGGATCAAAGTGTAGAGGTTAATTAATAGATTGGAGAGATACTGAGGGATTTGCAAGTTGCATAAACAGAAGAACTTGATTTTAAAAAGATCAAGATGAGAGTATCCAAAAAGAATAGAAACATGGCATTAAAAATTGCTTGAAGTAGAGGGCATTTAGATATTTAACTGTATGTGTATGGTATTCTATATTTGAGTATTTCTAAATTAGTTATTGGTTATTGTGAAAGTCACTAGAATATTCATTTAAAAACTTTTTTAAAAATTGGTCCTGTAGCACTTTAAAGTATCATGAGCTTTCGTGAGCACAACCCACCTCTTGCTCAACTCATCTGAAGAAGTAGGTTGTGCCCACAAAACCTCATGATACTATCTATTCTTTTATTAGTCTCTGGTGCTACAGGACCACTTGTTTGTTTTTTCTAAATTACAGACTAAAAGGCTACCTCTCTGAGACTTTTTGAATATTCATTCTCTTTCTTTGACAGTTAATAGTGGGTAGCTTGAAGATTGCTGCACAACATAGCAAGAGGACAAACTTCCAGCATAAAAGAGGAGAGTCATGTTTTAACCAAAAAAAAAAAACCTGAGTGAGGCAGGTGATAATGTATGTGAGCTTTATGGAATTAGCAAATATCAGCTATGTAAGGCAGGGGTAGGCTCTACCTTCCTAATCTGTCAGGCATCGCCCTGCCCACACACTGCCCCTAGAGTACCTACTGTAGATGTTCTGGGAGTGGAGTGTTGCTGCCCCTACAGCCCGCACTGCTGGTGCTCCGGGGCTGGGGAGGCCAGGCCTGGCAGCATGATACACCCTCCCACAATGCTATGGGGCTGGAGAGGCTGGTCTGGGCTAGGCTACATGGTGCAGCATTCTCTACCTCCTCCCTTCCCAGTGCGCCTCCCCTAACCCCACCTTCCCTGATGGCTCATGGACATAATTTCGAGTATGAAGAAAAATTGTTCTCATTAACCACTGAGGCTAGGACAAGAAGCAATGGTCTTAAGTTGCAAGGGAGATTTAGGTTGGACATTAGGGAAAACTTTGTGTCATGGTAGGTAAGCAGTGGAATAAATGGTGAAGGGAGGTTGTGGAGGTTTTCAAAGGCAGCTGTTAGGGATGATGTAGAATGGGGATTGGCAACCTATGGCTCCTGAGCCAAATATGGCTGAGTAGGGAGCCAGATGTGGCTCTTTTGCAGCTCAAGCTCACCACCCTGCCCATTGTCACAGCATGAAGCCCATGTTGGTGCTCCAGCC